CAAAAGCTGTCTCGCGCGGAGAGACAGCAAACGCTGTCTCGCGCGGAGAGACAGCAAACGCTGTCTCGCGCGGAGAGACAGCAAACGCTGTCTCGCGCGGAGAGACAGCAAAAGCTGTCTCGCGCGGAGAGACAGCAAACGCTGTCTCGTGCGGAGAGACATTAAACGCTGTCTCGCACGGAGAGACAGCAAACGCTGTCTCGCGGGGAGCGACAGCAAACACTGTCTCGCGCGGAGAGACAGCAAACACTGTCTCGCACGGAGAGACAGCAAACACTGTCTCGTACGGCGAGACAGTAAAGACTGTCTTTTCTTTAATTTTTTGGATGACTTCCTTTTGAGCTGTGTTTGGATATCTCTCAGCATTTTTTGACGCCTACAGATACCCCCTCCAAAGTATTCCAGACTCAATCTTTTATAGAGGAGTTCTGGGATGCTTTGGATAAGATAGGTCTTACTTATGATCCTTTCCATGCTTGGTTGGGTAGATCGTATAGAAGAACCTGTAGATGGCTTCAACACTTGATCTCTTTGTCTCTCGGTCTATTCAGTGCTTTGTAGAATAGCTAAGATCATTTCGGCATGGCGTTCATCGCTTGACCGTCGTCGAGATCTTGAATTGAAGCTGGAATTTGTACTTGTGAATTCAGCTTTTGTCATCAAATTGATACCGCATTGTTAATCACTGTATCAGTCTTCATAAGAAAACAGTTTATACTCATGTATTATTATTTTTTTTGTTCTCGGGAAATAGTTTAACCTCATATACCCGTTGGGAGGTAGCCAGGTTATTCTTAAGAATATTTTGAGTGATATTCTCCAGAAACTTCCTGTTGATGGTAGGGAAACAGTTTAGACTCGTGTACTTATTGGAGTAATATGGTCTCTTTTTTGTTGGTAGAGATGAACCCAGAATCGGAGAGTAAGAATTTTATATTCTATCTCCTGATATGGACCTCTCGTTCATGGGACGAATCGAGAGGGGATTTTGGTTTTGGTCCTAACTGTTTAAAGGTTTGACCAGATGGAAGTTTTGAGACGACCCTAACTATAGGAAGGTTTGATCGTTCGATTTGTGGACCTCTCGTTCATGGAAGGAATCGAAAGGGGATTTTGGTTTTGGTCCTAACTGTTTAAAGGTTTGACCAAATAGGAGTTTTGAGACGATCCTAACTGTTTAAAGGTTTGATCGTTCAATTTGTGAACCTCTCGTTCATGGAACGAATCAAGAGGGGATTTTGGTTTTGGTCCTAACTGTTTAAAGGTTTGACCAAAAGGGAATTTGAGACGATCCTAACTGTTTAAAGGTTTGATCGTTCAATTTGTGGCCCTCTCGTTCGTGGAACGAATCGAGAGGGGATTTTGGTCTTGGTCCTAACTGTTTAAAGGTTTGACTAAAAGGGAATTTGAGACGATCCTAACTGTTTAAAGGTTTGATCGTTCAATTTGTGGACCTCTCGTTCATGGAACGAATCGAGAGGGGATTTTGGTTTTGGTCCTAACTGTTTAAAGGTTTGACCAAGATGGGAATTTGATACGATCCTAACTGTATAAAGGTTTGATCGTTCAATTTGTGAGGAAAGATTGATCCAACGAAGTGATCGAACCTCATCTCAGCAAACGAGTATTCGAAAATCACCGTGGGGATGTAGTGTTTAACACTTTGTTTGCAATGATCGGGTTATTCCTAAGAAAGTTACATATAGTATTCTTTCGGGAACTTCCGTTACATGAACCATCCACCCCTAGCTTTTCTTGCGAAACCGGGTTTATCATTATGTTTAGCTATATGATCAGGTTATCCTTAAAAGTACCATGCATGGCATTCTCTAGGAACTTCCCGTGAAAGAAAGGAAATAGTTTAGACTCATATACCTGCTGGAGTATCGAGGAGCAGTTTATACTCGTATACTCTTCGGAGTGAGATGGAGAAGCAGTTTATACTCGTATACTTATCAGAGTCAGGGAAAACAATTTATACTCGTATACCCAAAGGAGTAAAGTCATCTTTAATCGGCTTGTTTCGCCGTTATGACGCCGGTGTCAATTAGGGCTTGGATTTTATTTTTGAGTCCAAAGCAAATATTGGTGGGATGAAGAACCCTTCTGTGGTATGCATAATAGTTTGGATCTGTAATCATCTTAGCACCCTCCTGATCTTTAATAGGCGGTAGCTCGATTTTGTCATTGGTGAGGAGGTATTCCAATATGGCTGGAGCTTCGTTATCTTCGAAAGAATACTCCTTTTGGAACCTCGGATCGAGAGTCGCGTTCACAACACTTGTAGATGTCGTCGGTTGGCTTCTCTCAGCTTTCCGTCTTTTAAGAAAGTGTTCAGCCTGTTCGCCGCGCAATTTTAACTCTTTCCAAGTTTTAGATGGTACGACCCCCAGGGCTTCCAGGACATCGATGGAGAGGTTATTGTGGCATGTTTGCAGGATAAACTCCTCTGTAACAGGATCTCTGCAATTCATTGCCTTATCACGGAAGCGTTTGACAAAATTATCAATAGACTCTCCGTCTTTTTGCTTTTCATCCAAAAGGGTTCCGACTGACACTTCGGTGTCATCATCGAAGAAGTTGTTGAGGAACAAATTTTTCATATCATCCCAGCAATTGATGCTCCCTGGCTTGAGCCGTCGGTACCAATCGAAAGCGGGCCCACGAAGAGTGCCAACGAATGACCGGACCATTAAAGCCTCGTTTCCAGAGATCATGCCCAAATGAGACTTGAAATAAATCAAGTGCTTAATCGGCGAACTTTTCCCCTCAAACGGTGTGAAGTTAATCAAATTGAACTTTGTCGGGTATGGTATTGAATCCCATTCCCTTGGATAGGGACATGGAATACCCGTCTTCTTAACTTCTTGAGCCATCATCAAAGCGTTGACTTTGTTTTCAAGCTCTTTCATTTTCCCGTCATCGTCTATGTCTTCATTCGAAGGACGTTGAGGAGAATGAGTTAGACCACCCCCAGTAAGATGTGCCATTGAACCACCCCCAATATTGTTATTGGGAGGATGTGTTAAACCACCCCCAGCGTTATTGCTATTAGGAGGTGTATCAGCCATAATGACTTCATCCACTTCTGGATCACTGTCATCTACAACATTCTGAATGTGGTGGCTGGATTCAGCTCGCTGTCTGGACTCAGGAGGTTGAGGTTGTTGAGTCAGCAACTCCCTCATTTGTTGAATAGCTAACCCCATCTCTGTCTTCATCTCAGCTCTAATTTCTTCACGTTGCTTCGTTAGAGCTTCTTGAAGCATTTGAGCAAATTGATCAGAGGTGATTGTGAGTACTTCTCTGGTTTGTCCCGTGCTAGACATTGTATCATCAGAAGCGATTGCAGAACAAGTGTCCGAGAATTCATCCTCCGAGGACATTCCTTCTTGCATTCTTTTGTAATCTCTGCGTCTGATGGCTCCTAATTAGAGTCGAGACATCCTTTGAGCAATTCTTGGATTGGCTTTTCCTCTCGGTGAAAAGTCAGGATTTGAGTCACTTGAATGCCGCTTAGACTTTCTTTTATCAGCCACGTTGACGGTGACTTCAGGGAATTCATCATCTTGGGCAGCTGATTTTCTTTTGCGGAAATGTCTCGGTCTCGGCTTAGGCTTCGACAATACAGAGACTCTTCGTGGGATGGCTTCTCGTTTGAAACAGTCACATTCTGATAATGCTGCTTTAACGAGTCGCGCACAGGAACAATGAGAGTTTATTCCTCGAATAACTCTCTTTCGAAAATTATTCACAACCCCAACTTGATAATACGATTCATCGGTATGATTGCCAAAAAATCGTATCGTCTGTTGGCATGACCTCCCAGGTATGACGATATCATTTGGTGAATGCGTCTTCTTCTGGGGGTGTAAAACCTTATTGGCATTCTCAGGACAATTTATTTTTATCTTTGAGCGATCCAAGGTTATGTCGGGAGTCACACGTTTAAAACCACCCCCTTGCGGGTATGGAGTCTTAACGGGCTCCGAATGCTGATTTTGCATCTTGACAAAAGTCCATTCATCCGTCGTGAGTTTAGCAGAGATATGAGTGATTGGTTGTTGAGACAACTGAACCACTCGATGTCTCCTCGACTCTAGGTCCGCGTGATAACAAACCCCGTCGGTTTGTTCCAACGTCTTAACCATTTGGCGAGCACGGCGCTGACGTTG